GAGGGCCTGGCCTGCACAGGTGCTGCCTGGCCCTTTATAGAAGGGTGACGTAATCACAGCCAGGAGGCTGCCGAGAGCTCAGAATCGGGAACGCCTAGTGGTCACTGTCACACCTCCCTGTGGGCCTCTAAAGCACTCTGGGATCATGATTCTTTGCTTTGATTCTCTCCTGCCTGACTCACTGTCCCTTCCTCATGCATCAGTGTAATTGTTCCTTTCATGGTTACCTCCCAGCCCCTGGCAGTCGTGGTCAGGTCGAGAGGACTGGAGAGGAGCCTCTCAGGGTGCACGTTAACAGACCAGCAGGTTCTAGCACTGGGGGCCTCAGCAGCCCCCTGGCCTTGTCTGTTACACGCCATACTGTACCTCCACCCTTTCAGAAACAGCCAAAGAACAGAATTTCATGGGCTCCTTACATAGTTACCCACCCATGGGTAACTCACATGGGAGCTGCAGAAGGCTGAGTTGGTGAACGCCGGTTCAGTTACCGATGAAGAGTACAGTCTCTGGCTAGGAGACACCTGCGGTGACAGGGCGGTGCAGTTTCCCAGGGTGCTGGGCTCAGGGCAGAGGTGAACTGGAACCCGGGGTCTGCTGTGTATGCAGTCTGAGGTCTCAGCATGGGTGTCATGGGAAATGCGTTCACAATTCAGTGCCAGGCCCGGCCCTCCCCAGGCCTTCCTGAGGGAGTCCGCGTCCTGCGGAGATCCCGGTGAGCTGGCGCTGGGTCAGGCCGGAGAAGCATGGCCAGAGGTGCTCTTGCTCTTTCAGCCATGAAGACTCAGGGCTTCCCGTTCCCTTCTGTGTTTTGAGTGCCAGGCCCAGGATGTTAAGGATGGTTTCTTTGGCTGGCTGTGTGCTCCCTGAGGAGGGAGGCTTTGGCCCTGTCCCTCCTCAGCGCCCAGCACTTGGCGTGGGGGAGGTGTCAGGAGAAGGGCTGAGTGGAGGAGCATGGATGAATGAGGGGCCCCAGGACAGAGGTCAGCCTCTCAGGCTTCTGCCCCTGAGGCCTCACAGCTCCACAGCTC